ACCCAAATTTTCCATTACTGGTTCTCCAAACTACTCAAAATTTCCATTACTGGTTCTCCAAACTACTCAAAATTTCCATTACTGGTTCTCCAAACTACTCAAAATTTCCATTATGGTTCTCCGAACTACTCAAAATTTCCATTACTGGTTCTCCAAACTACTCAAAATTTCCATTACTGGTTCTCCAAACTACTCAAAATTTCTGCTACCAGTTCTCCTGAACCCGTCAGAACCTGCTGGATTTCACCTCTGACCATGATGGCAAACCTTTGACACACATGCCAGAAGTGGCACACAGAGCCATTTCTCTGGGCACGCGATCTGTCACCCGTTGCTCTTCCAGGTTCCGGCATGCCGGCCAGCTGGTCTTCATTCATGTGGGAGTGCCGGAACCTGGAAGAGCAGCCTGGAACCCGGAACACATGTGCCAGGTGGCTACTCTTCCGGTTTCCGACATGAGCACTTCCATTTTGGCACATTTTGGCAAAAAGGTTCGCCAACACTGGTCTAGGACTACCAGTAGCTTCTGTTTAGAATTACAGCCAGCCAAGTGGGCTGTGCCCTTTTTCAGACATGCCAATACATTACTACTCTGGTATATTTTGAGGAGCAATTCCCAGGCATCTGGATGGCCCTTGCACTATGCTTTAAATTTTTTTGAAAGGGGTGAGTTTTACAGTCTCTTTCTTGAGTTTTTAGGAAGATCTGCGGCTCTACTTTTCTTCTGCATTATTATTTATTTTCCATTTATCATTATTTTGTTATACAAAATACAAAGAAGGAAAAAATAGAAAATTAAGGGAAGGAAAGGGAGCGGGGAAAAGGATGCATGAGATACAAGGGGAAAGAGAAAAAGAAAGAAAAGGGGGCATTGACTTCCAGCTCTTCTTTAGCCCAGGACAAGATAATCACACTCCAACCTCAACTTTTACACATTAATGTATAACTTAGCCATTCCTATAACACCAAATCTTTCTAATCAACAAAACCAAGGTCAAAGTTTTATTTCTTCTTCTCCACAAACACAAATTCCAGAAGTGATATCCAAATAAGAACATATCTTCCTCTTTAAATAAAATTTCGGCATTATTGAGCAAGTATAAATCTAGCATAATTTACCCATTTGAAGATCAATGGAATTCAGCTTCCAGAATTCTGGCTGGACAGAGAGTTCTGGGAGATGAAGTCCACACATCTTCAAGTTGCCCAGGTTGAGAAACACTCATTGAAAAGATCATGCCATTTCCCCCTTGAAAATAATAGGAAACTACATGGCCTTAATTTTAAGCAATCACGCACCAGGTTGGAGACAAGGGCAGGATTCGAAAGGATGATCCACTGTTGAAAGATCGAAGTTTCTCTTGAGTTAATCCTTATTTTGGCAACTTTTTCAGCAGCAATATTGCAGTGGTTTTGTACTGCCAACTTCTCAGTCCTTTGTTGAGCTTACAATCTAATTTATAACTCTGGCATCTCCGGGTGGCCTCCCATCCAAGATGGCCCTGATCATCTTTTTAAAGATCAGCCACAACTATCACAAAGATCAGTGATAGCCAACCTTTTTGTTGTTGCATGCCGAAAGCGTGCAAGCACCTGCGCGACAGCACGCATCCCCGCCCGCACCCATAATGCAATGTGTGTGCGACCCCCCCCACCCCGAGCCCCGCACGCATGCGCATGGGACATCCACGCACCCCATTTTACACCTGGTAGGCCTCCCTGCAGCTTCCTGGGACTACGGGCTGTGGGGGGTGGGCGCCACACCCCATTGCTCCCCCCGCCCCTGCGCATGCGTGTGTGACCCCCACCCCTCCGTGCATGTATGTTTTCTGCATAATAAAGCTGCTAGTCCTTAAGGTGCCCCGGAGCTACCTTTTTTTTTGTCCTGGTGGTAATGTCTTTTAGAATGCGACTAACAATGGACAGCAACAGCATCTAGGCCCGTGCATGCATGCAACTCTCCCGCATGGGCTCTGCCCCCGTGCATGTGCGGCAGAGACCAGAAAGTCACCTGGCCAGTGGGAGGGGTGCGCGCATGCGTGGTGGAGCTCAGCTGGGGCGACGGCGTGCGTGCCCGCAGAGAGTGCTCTGCGTACCAACTGTGGCACGCGTGCCCTAGGTTCCGCCATCACGGGCCTAGATGCTGTTGCTGTTGCATTCTAAAAGGCAGTCCCATTACCACCAGAACAAAAAAAAAGGTAGCTCCGGGGCACCTTAAGGACTAGCAGCTTTATTATGCAGAAAACACCCACTGTTTCACAGATAGAAAATATGGACGTTCATAAGAGCTCAAGGATCCTATTTCCCACCCTTTGCAATTATAGAAAGTATAGAAAAGACTAGACTTTAACCCAAACATCCAACTGACGTTACCTCTGGCAAGATGGATGGACTTCCCTGCATTTAACACAACCGTTGTCTTCTCTGGCAATTGCACACCTGGCTTTTCTTTGTGATAAACTGCCTGCTGCTCACACCAGACTTGAGCAGAGAGGTCCGTGACGCAAAGATAGCTCAGGTGGAAAGCTTCGAGAGGCGTCCTCGGTCTCTTTCTCTTTGCTGTCCTCTTCTTCCTTCTTTCCACATCAGCCATCCGAGAATCAACACCCTGAGGTCTGGCACCACTTAGGAGTTGGGGTTCCCTGTGATGAGCATGCAAGAAGTTCAGATTATCATGAATACCAAAAGGGCTTTATTCAAGAGGCAACTGGACTGTCTGGTTTTTCTTTGGAAGACATTTCGCTTTCAACAGTGCCAGGAAGGCTCCGCACCCATTTAGCCTTTAACTAAGTACCTTAACTACATTTCTTTTAAATGGAGTTTCCTCCTCCCTTTTGTCCTCGTTCCGGTTCCCACCCACCCAAAGATAGAGAAGCCTCCCCGCCTACCAGGGACTGGGGATGTTGCGACCTTAGAAAGAGCGCAGAGAAGGGCGACCAAGAGGAATAGGGTCTGGGGGCTAATGCACAAGACTGAAAGGTTGCAGGAACTATGGGTGTCTAGTTTAATGGTTTTTCTTTGGAAGACATTTCGCTTTCAACAGTGCCAGGAAGGCTCCGCACCCATTTAGCCTTTAACTAAGTACCTTAACTACATTTCTTTTAAATGGAGTTTCCTCCTCCCTTTTGTCCTCGTTCCGGTTCCCACCCACCCAAAGANAATCACCTATAGTAAACACATAATAAAGACAGCAAGAAATATTTACAGAATGTGTTGCTGTTGTCCAATTTGTAGCTTGGAATATTCCCTATCACTTTAGAAATGTACTGGAGAATAACTTTCCAGCTTTAAATAAACAGTTTGGAAATTATGACAATTACTGCAAAATTTAGAATAGGTAAGAAACTTTCAGGAGTTATAGAAATGTGATGGGAAGCATTTTCCCCTAGCTGGTCAGCTAATTATGGTAATTAAAAAAGTTCAGAGAGAGCAACTAAGATGATCAAAGGCCTGGAGACTAAATGAAGAACAGATGCAAGTTTTGGGTCTGCCTAGTCTAAAGAAAAGAAGAATTAGGGGTGATACGATAGCAGTATCTCAATATTTGAGTGGCTGCCACAAAGAAGAGGGAGTCAAATTTTTCTCCAAAGCACCAAAGGGCAGGACAAGAAATAATGGTTGGAAATGGTTGGATCGAAGAGAGAAGCAACCTGAAATTAAGGAAAAACTTCCTAACAGTGAGGACAATTACCCAGCTTTCCTTCAGAAGCTGTGGGTGCTCCATCACTGGAGATTTTTAAGAAGAGACTGGAGAGTCACTTATGTGAAATAGTATAGGTTCTCCTCCTTGAGCAGGGGGCTAGACTAGAAGACCTCCAAGGTCCCTTCCAGCTCTATTCTAGTCTAATTTATAATTATAGAATAATGGAATAACAGAGTTGGAAGGAATTTTGGAGGTCTTCTAGCCCAACCCAATGCTCATGCAGGAAACTATACCAATTAAGACAAATGGTTGTCCTATCTTTTCTTTAAAATCTCCAGTGTTGGAGCACCCACAACTTCTGGAGGCAAATTGTTCCACTGATTTATGAGAAAACAATTGTAAGTACGGACTTCTGGGGGAAGATAGCATATTGAAGATAACTCTGTAAAAAAGTGGAGCTGATGTTTGCACCATTAACAAGGGTATGGATGAGTAGATCAGCCCCTACTATCTTCTCTGGATAAATGACAGCGATGTAAGATTACCCAAACTGTTTCTTTTTCTCATGAAGAAACATCAAGACAGCGATCTTGGAAACAGAGTATTTGTCATAATTCTTTTGTTCACAAACTAAGACTTTCTAAAATCCATGCACTTCTCTTGCTGTTTTTGGAAATAGCCTATGCACTGATGCAAAGAAGTTATACAGCTGGAAATATTACAGGAGTGTCTTCAATCCTCAGTATAACAATATGAATGTTTATTTTTATAATCCATATTATGTTTTAATTAAGAGTTTTAGTTAAACAGCAGAAAGCAAGACAAATTATTGGCTTCAGAAAGCTCAGAAAACTTCAAAAGGAGTTTGAATATTAAGACTCTGAATCTCCTTTTATAAAAATAAAGGTATTTTGTGAGAAAGATGCATGTTGCTTTTATATTGTAGACATAACAAGACAAGGAACTTAAAATGGCATTCAGGGATAATCTTTGAGGAATTGTACCAGGGCCTGTGTCAAAAATTTGATTCAATTAATGTCTGCTATGTGGCATCTTTTTGAGAACAGTCTCTTCCCAGATGATGTTAAAGAACAAGTTATGCAGCAAAAAAATGTAAATTTGTCACGAGATATAACTGGGTGTGGTTTCACAAATTAAAAATGAAATAAAAATAGAAGAAATGATATTTTCTTGTTGTTGGATTCATAAAAGAACACTTTGCTTAAAGTAAGTGCTAAAGAAATTTGTAACAAGGGTCAACAACCATTTCAAAGGATTAGAGAGAAAGATTGTTCTGAACCAGAGAAGAAAGGACTGCAAAGTCTGTTTGTTTGATCAGGGATAAAATGTGATATGTTGTTATTCTGGGTGTCTCTTTTTGGATTTATTGATGCCTTAATTGGAAAAAAAATGTCATGTGTGTGCATTTGTTTATGTTTAATATGCTGTAAAAGTCTTTTCACCTATAGTTACTTTATGCAATCTTAACTTTATAATACTGGTCTTTAACTGGTCTTAACTTTATAGTACTTTATAGTACTATCTGGCTTTGCATTTAATTGCTTATTATTCTTGGGAGTAAGGAAGTTTGGGGAACTTGTCTTTCTTATATTAAATGTCAGGCTCTTGTTTATATTAGAAGACTGGGATTACTTTAAATTTGTGAAATGTTAATGCGTTTATAGATTAAAGTGGAGATATGGAATGGATATTTTAATAGAATGAGTTGCTGTTTGGAGTGCGGGGGTGGGATTTTAAAATATATATATATTTGCAATGGGAAAAATATTGTGCATTGGAATTTGCCTCTGTAAAGGAGAAATGGTCTTTTGGTCAAGTTACAATTTGGTTGGGACCATTTTATGCCTTTTAAATAGGAATTTTTTCAAAGATGAAAAATGTGTATTGTTGANACTGTAAGACATCCAGTATCCTCCTCAAACTATTAGGGAGGAGTCTTCACCCTCTTTCTCTCACACCAATTGTCTCGACTTTGCTTGTCTGTTGTTCCTCTGGAATGCAGCCCCTCCCTCCTGGGAATCCAGACAGCATTCCATCACAGTTCACTCTGCGAATCCATACCTTTCTCCAGGATTGGCCCTGCGAAAATATTAGACTGGTGTTGTGTTTCCTTAAACCTATTCTGAGGGCGGCACTATTCCAGAGGAACGTCCAGCTAGCACACTGCTGCCATCTAGCCACCTTCTGGATTTCTGCAGGCCGGGTCAACCATACATCCTCAAAGCCTTTGATGTACTGTTGGTTACTAATTCCTGCTCAATGCCTTCCCGTTTCTTTAGACGGCAATTAAGAGGCATGATTTTGCAGTTCCAATTTATTTTCCCTTCCTATTGTAGGAAGTTAGCACCCACCCCTCACCTAGGAAAATGAAATATTCCTGGAAATATTGAAGAATATTGGAGAGAAGAGGAGAGAAAATACTAAATAACCTCTAGTTATCCACAATAATAATAAAGATATGTTAGAGAGAGCGAATGTTAGATGTCCTATTAATTGACTTTTTTTTTTAAAGAATATGTTATAAAGATATAAAGATATGGCAGATTGATTGAGACTGGGGGAAGAAAAAAAATGCCAACAGGTGGTTGTGTTTTTGAAATCTTAAGTAAATGAAAATGGTATGGTGATAGTAAAATATATAAATTTTTAACATCTATAATTTAAACTGAATGGAATATATGTGACTGTGGAAGGAACGCACAGAATGTACTTGTGACCAATGGATACGCTTTCTACAAGATGTAATGAAAGATGATTCTTTTTTGTGTGTGTGCTTTTTCTGTAATAAAACTAATTAAAAAAAATTCAAAAAAAAAAAGAAAGTTAACAACCGGTTCTCCCAGATAGGTGCGAATTGGCTGAATCCTACCACTGGTTTCCCCCCTTCAGCTCCAGGGTGATGGGATTAAGGCATGATAGTATTAGCCCTTCACCCATCTCACCACCGGGCACCTGGGAAGAAGCAATGCTCAACCAAACTTGGACTCAAGAAAGACAGCCTAGAGAGTTGCCCCTGCATGGCCCCCATGGGAGTCTGACAACCAATCAGAATACATTTCTTACACAGGAACAGGAAACAGAGAGGTGGGGCTGAACAGAGTATTAAAAAAACCCAGCAAGCCCCTTCTTCGCCCTTTTTCTTCTTCACCCAACATCTAGAAGCATGTGACCACCTTTTCCCCCA